TAAAATACCAAAAATATCCTTGCATTAAAATTTTAATTCAAAAATGCCAAAATTATAAATTTCCTAATTTATCTATTGATTTGTGGTTAATATTGGTTCTCACAGTTACCACAAACTAATTAGTTCTCATTTGATTAGGCCCCTATATATATATATATATATATATATATATATATATATTTATTGAAGGAATTCCAGAGTACAAAATGAACTTTTTTTTGTATGTCACAAGATAAATGAGTCATTGATCTTTTTAGCGAAGTATTCAATAAATGATTGCGACTTGATGTTCATCAAAAATTGTTGATATCTAAAACCGATTTTGATTCATATATGTTTTTTTTTTCCTTATACTTATACATATTTAATCAATTAATTAATGGTCATATTTTTATTTATTATTCATCAAAACATTTTTTTTATTAACCTGGATATCCAACCCGCTATGCGAGCCGACTAATCCTAGGATGACCACCTGCTTTGCAGATAGCCTGAATTCACTGCATTTGAACCTCCGTCGCCACAAAGAAATTTTTATTCCTCCTTGGATTTGTACCTGAAATCTTCTGATACTTTTGACCTTTGGAGCCAAACTTAAACCAATCAGGCACTAATTGCTACATTAATTTAGTTTGAAACCAAATCGATACCTAAGCGAATATTTATAGTCAATTAAAATGATACATTGAAACAATTACGATACCATAAGTTCAATCACAAAGAACTTATTGATCCTCGTCTTGCTTGGTCAAAAACCAACATAAAAGAAGACAAGAAAATACAATAAAAAGTTGAGGAAAAAAAAAATTAAGTAGCTTCATAATATTCTCTTTGTCTGGTAAATCATTAGCCATTTGAAACTATGGAATTGAACTGTACTGATTCAAGTGATTCCAAGTTTGAATACCGTTCCAGTTGTTTATGCTTCCATTTTGGTCATTCCCTGTGCTGCTGTTCGTTGGAGTCGCCCGATTCAGATTCGGATTCGGATTTTGATTCAGATTCGCAGGTGGATAACTGCTGTCAAAGAACCACTCAGTTGCCAAACCACCACCACCACCACCACTGGTGCTGGTGTCTTTTCTTGAATCACCATCCATAGAGGATTGTGTTGGTTTTGAAGTCTCAAGATTCTGAAACAAAATGGGTTGTAATCTCTGAACCTGTGGTTCGAGAACAGCTTGTTTCTTCTGCTGTTGCTGATCCATCTCTCCGCCACCACCGCTGCCCCCACCTCCACCACCAAACAACATAGAAAGTCTTTGTTGCTGCAGCTTCCAATGCAAGTCTTGGTTTATAGAACTCAATGACTCTATGGAAGAAGCAAGATCATTATGGTGATGAAGATGATTACTTGTACCCATTTCATGAAAGCTTGCCAACCCTCCACCACTTTGATTAAGCTGTGGTTGTTGTTGTTGATGATGATCTCCTTGTTTCATCACAAAATGAGATGATGAAATTGGGAAATTAAACCCTAATGGATCAAGATTCACTATACTTGACGTGTCTCCATATGAAGAAGAGAATTGGTTGGTGGTTGTAACCCTAGCTGGAGGGAAGCTGTTCAACCCACCAAGCTGAAAATCCATGGAGGAGAGACCGTAGAATTTCATCCCTCCCATATCCGAAGATGAATCTCTGGAGGAAGACTCACCCAATAAAAACCTGGAAGAACAAGATTTCGTTTTTTTGTTCTTCCTGCAACTGCCTCCTATGGGGACGTTACGAAGAGCACCACCTTTAGTCCAGTATCTTCTACACGCTTTACAGAAGTGTCTAGGCTGGGTGAGGCTATAGTTGTTGTAGTAGCAGAACTTTGTGTTGGGCGAATCACATCTTGGGCACCTGAGGGTCTGTTCTGGTGGCCTCAACGAAGATGTTTTCCGGCCACCACCACCACCACCACCGGAGTTCTGGCCTTCTTCATCTTTGTTAGCCTGCTTTGATGCCAACATAGAGATTGATCAATGGTGCATATATGATAGCAAACCCTAGCTAATACCAAGTTATGATCGAAAGAGAAAGAAGTAGGGTAGTTTGAGTTTGCTTTGAAAGAAGGGAAAGATGCAGCGATGATCAATTGAATGGATTCATGCATGAATATCTTGAAAGATGGGTTCTTGTGAACTTCATCAAGTTGTCGGAGAGGCTTCTGATTCTCTTATCTTGAAGGGTTAGATTTGAAGAGAAAACAGGAGTAGTAAACACACACATGGATGGGAAAGAGACAAAGAGATCTAAAAGCTGAGAGGCTCCAAAGTATATATCCATGGAAGGTGAGAAATGAAGGCATAAGGGACAAAAACTTTGGGACACTTTGAAATCCATATTATAATAAAAATTAATTGTTTTTTAAAATATTAAAACACCAGAGATATTTTGATTTTAATATTTTATTTTATTTTATTATTTGCCTTTATTATGTTATAATATAATTTTATGTGTTTTTAACAAAGTAATAATTATTTTATTTTTAAATAAAATATAAATTTGAAGATATTATAAAAATTTGAAAAAAAAAATATCAAATCAATTATTTAAAAGTTTTCATTTTTTATGTAATTTATTTAATTTATTTTTTTATTATAATTTAATTTAAGTTTAATAACGAAATAATTTATTTTTGAATTAATAATATAACATTTTATAAATATAATAATTAAGTATTCTGTTAGATATCAATGATTATCTTAATTATATTTTAGATTTTTTATATTTAAAATAAGATGTTTATCTTGTATTTGATCATGTATATCTGCAGTTAGTTACACGAATTCAGACATTGAGTTTTAATAAGTTGTACTTACGCATAATCTACTTGCAATCTTGAGTTTTAAGTAATATACATTAATAAACAGTACTTTATGCATAAAAAATGGTTTTTAAGAGTTTTTATCAAATGCTTTATAATATAGTATAGATAAGCCCACAACCAAAAAATAGCATATTAAAAAAATAACTTAAACACTATATATACCAATTTAAACTTATGTCGTAATTACCAAATAAATTATCAATTATATTTAATAAATGAAAAGGCAATGTTTCAATTAATATTAAAAGCATTCCCTTTTTATATTTCATATATAAAAAGGAATATTTTTTATTTTATCGATTGTTATGTCATAATCAAGTTATTCATGTATTAAAAATAAAAATAAAAAACAGATATTAATGTTAACGTAATTTATAATTAAAGAAGGTAAAAGAGAGCGACGAAAAGTAGCTTAATCTAATGCTCATGGGTCCGATTCAAAGTTCTTTGTTCAAAAAATAATGTAAAAGGGCTATCTATAAAGCAGGTGATTGTCCTGGGATTAGTCTGCTCACATAGCGGATTGGATATCCAGGTTAATAATAATAAAAATAATAATAATATAAAAGTGCCATGAATATTTAGTAAATGGAGGGGAAAGAAAAGGAGAAATGGAAAAGGTGACAGGAATGCAATGGAGATGGAGGGATTGGATGCATGCAAATGATGATTCATGCATGGATGACGCACACTTGTTCTATATATAACATATTCATAAGATTTGAAATAAGACTGAATTCCATTATTTATAATTAATTAAATTATATTTTTATTAATTAAATATTTGTAACGTATTTTAAAATATTATTATTACAAATCATCAAATCCTACAAAATTTCATGAAATATCAACCACCCTTATGTGATTTCAAAATCTTATGTTTGTGTGATTTCAAATTAAATAATTATCAGGTGTTTCGCTTATCTTAATGGTCAGTGAGTCTGACAAAGACCGATAATCTTATCTGGTAAGAAACAAAGAAAAGCCCAAGAATTATACTGGTGAGTGAAGGATGAGAAACATTTATCAACAATCCATTTTGATGATCAAGAATATTATTCGGTCTCTAATAAAATGCTGAATCTAATATTTGTTTTCTTTATACTTTTTACATAGATACTTTTGTAATGAAATATTTTTATAATTGTTTCTTTGAAAACATTAACTAAAAGTAAAAAATTGAAAATAAGCCAATTTACCAAAGATACTTATATACATCATTATTCACGTACCTTTTACCAGGGCGGATGCAGTGCTTTAAAGGAGGGGGGAAGGGACTCCAGTCAAAAACTCGAAAAACAAAAATTCATAGGTTAAAATTTAGGTTTTACATGATTTACCTTTCACTTTCTTCCATTACATTTTTCCATGGGTCCCCCAACCCTAATCGAAACTGTTACTCTAACAAAAAAAAATCTATTCAAATCAATCAAAAAAACCAAAAAAGTTTTTCGGAATCGACAAAAACACTAAAAAAATTCTTCGAAATCAACCAAAAAACTTTAAAATTTCCTCAAAAACGTTGTAATTAGGTTAAAAACACATCGGACGATTTTGCGGGTTTTTAGTCTACCTTAAAGGTGACCCCACTGAACAAAAATCCTGGATCCGCCATTGCCTTTTACGTTGGACATATGCGTATAATGGTACGATATGGTTGTTGTACTTTATAAATTAGTGCGTCAATGTCTTAGTTAAACGACCAAACACTGAAATATGTTTTTGATCAACCAATATTGTACATAAATATTTTCATAACTCAGTTATTTGAACTCGTAATAAATATCATGAGAGCTTCTTAATCATTATGACCATTTAATCATTCTGTACCAAACCATTAAGCAATTGTCAAACAACCCCTTATTAGATGACTAAATTATGAGTCAATGTTAAAATGTAAAAGAAATGAAGAATAGTGAGATTGGGGGAGGAAGGTAAAGTACAAGTGATGTGAATAGCAGTAGAAGCATAGCAGAGGGATGGCAGGCAAAACAGCTTTGTCCCTTGCTTCCAATGTCATGTCCCTTTTGAATCCCATTTCACTTCTCTTTTTCCCAATTTCAATTTTTATTTTTATTTATTATTACTAATTTACTATACCATCTTCTTCAATCCTTTCTGCTCTACAATCGACATATTGATGTCAACTTTCCATTTTTAGTATAATATACATATTATAATATTACTATTTTTGTCTTTTTACATTTTTTTTAAAGTCTTCAACTTTTTTTTAATGTATGGTACCATCAAAAAAACCAAATTAATTATATTTCATAAATTGTCATTGCCTTTTAATTCATTGATAAAATAATAATAATAATATATAAGTCCATTCCGATAACATACTGATATGTTTATATTTTAACTGATATTTATTTGAATAAGTTTGTAATAAATTATAGAGAATTCTTTTGTACTGAGTATAGCTAGTGTTTGTGGGTGCATGTACTGAATTAAAGTACCCAAAATATGTAGGTACTTTTATACACAAACATGTTATACCTATTGGTTCGAAGGGGTGTACCATGACGACCCGTGTGAATATGTTGTTATTGCAGTTTGGATAGAATTTAAAAATGAAGAATACATTTTTATTTTGATTAGTTTATATATATTGTTACAATTAAAAATTAATAAATGTGAAAAAATGAAAAATGAGATATAAATCTAATTGAAATATACGACATTAACCAAACCTAAAAAGAAGCCCAATATTAAAGAAATGGTCTTTTCTTAACGATACAAACCATTTAAGAAAGGAAGGTGAGCTCGTTTTATTTCCTTTATTGCATGTGGCTATCCACTCCACTATGCCCCTATATTAACTATCATCCACCTCTTTCTCCTTTCTTTTAACTTTTTTGTGTCCAATTCCACTTCACAATCTTTGGAATTAAGCTCTAGTAACATCTATATTTAGGGGTCGTTTATCAAATGCGTATTTGGGTAAGCGAACACCAAATCATTTTACTTTACCAGATGAATATGGTAAGGATCAAGAATCTTACCTGGTAAGAGCGAGACAAGGACCAAGAGTCTTACCCGGTAAGTGAAGACGACAACTCTTACCACGGTAAGCGTTTACCGGGTAAATTGTTGCATACGATACCATTTTGGTGGACTAAAATCTTATCCGGTAAGTAAATGATAGTGTTGAATTTACCGATAAGCGCTTACCGAATAAATGTTTGGTAAACGGCCTCTTACATAGATAAGGTCGATAAATCAAGAAATAATTACATATATTATACCCTTCAATTAGGGAAGAAGTAAAAGGATAACGAATCTTAAATTCTAAAACCTTAATTCAAGTAGCAGATAGAGATGATCAAATTGGGTCGGTCTCTTATATACAGAATGATTGCAGTTTTCATTTTTTTAAGATTTTATAAATGGTAATACAAGTTTTTCAAAAAATTAAAATTAAAATTACAAGTTTTTCAAATAAATGTATTATTCAAAATGTTTTTTTTTTTTTGCTAAATTTCAAAAGCTATAATTAAAAAAACATGTGTAACATTTTTGTGTAAAAAAGATTTTTAAAAAAACAATAAGGGGACAAGGACCGGAATCGCTACCAAGCCTACGATCAGTTCTTAGGATTTTTCTGTTGGCCCGGTTTTGAAGGGTCCAATTTAGGACTGGCCGGACCCTGCTCGAGGGCAATTTGAGTGAACTACATTGAATTGTAGAATTAGGATTTGGTCACTCAAACGGACTATTTACAACGAAGGTCTCTAACTTTTCATTTTCCTTGCATTCATGGTCTCTTGAGTTAACATTGTTAATGAAGCTACATTAAATAGAGACATGTGCCGCTCACATGAGTGCAAATCCGTTTTTTTAACCACTTTCCATTTTTAATTAATTTTTTTACTATTTTTCTCTCACTCTTTGGCCTTTGTCGTTCGCTTGTGAATATACAAAGCTCGTCTAGGTGCCACTCAGAATCTCTTAAATGTCATACTCTTAAACACAAAAATTCATCACAAATTTTGTTAAAATAGACGAAGAAACCCGAAGTTTGTGCACACTTTTATCAAAAACTATTGGAGTGAGTTACGATTTTGGAGTTTACTGGCATAACATAATCATGAAGCAAATTACAAAATCCTATTAACATAGCACCCATGAGGGGAA